AATGACGCAGAAGAGCCTCATGAGGATCTGGGGAAACAGCATTCCACACAGTGGGATGCACATGGTGGAAGTTAGCTTGAAGAGGTGGGCAGGTGCCAGCAAAGACCTGTGCCTTTCATGAGTGCCATGAAAGCCACCGAGGCAGAGGGATAAGTGAGCTAACTCGTGTGTCCAAAGGTCTGCGGCTGCTGTGGGAAGGAAATGTAGGGATGAGCTTGAGGCAGGGACTGCACTGAGATCAAGGCCACCATGGGAATGTTGGCAGGCAGGTGCAGGGCTCCGTGCAGGGGTCTAGGCAGGGCTGGCATGCAAGGTCGGGACTTCTATGCCTGGAAAGAGGACACATGGGGGCCAGGAGGGCCCAAGCCCAGCAGGCAAGGTTGCTGTGGTTACCGGATGGGCCCAGGAAACAGGGAAGCCAGATGGCCAGTGAGAAGGACGGTGTCACACACCTTCCATGAGGGCAGTGGGAGTGATTTGATGCTGAGGAATAAAGAGGATGCTAAAGAGGATGAGCCCTTTAGGCTCCAGGTCGGGACTGCATCTGGGAGCACATCCTGAGCCCAGCTGTGGAGAACGGAGGCAGTGGAGGCTGGAGCCCCACTGGGCTCAGAGCACTCCACTGGCTGGAATGAGGGCAAGCCAGGGAGCAGGCACAGGAAAGCTGGCTGCCTGGTAGGAAACCCAAAGGAAAGAAGCAGCTTCCTGAGTGTGCAGACTTGCTTCACAAACAGGAGAGTGGGAAGAGTAGGAGGGAAAGACGTCTGGCTCCCAGGCAAAAGCATCCAGAAGGATGAGGAGGCGGTCACAGAGGAACCAATTTAACAGTGGCAGAAACTGTCAATCAAGATAAAACTGACAGGGCCAGGCACAGTGGCTCGTGCCTGTAATCCCAGCATTTTGGGAGGCCCAGCCGGGCGGATCACCTGAGGTCAAGAATTCAAGACCAGCCTGGCCAACATGATGAAATCATGTCTCTATTTAAGGCAAAAATTAGCTGGGTGTGGTTGTGGGCACCTGTAATCCCAGCTACTTGGGAGACTGAGACAGGAGAATCTCTTGAACCTGGGAGGCAGAGGTAGCAGTGAGCCAAGATCACGCCACTGCACTCCAGCCTGGGCAACAGAGCAAGACTCCATCTAAAAAAAAAAAAAAAAAGATAGAACTGACAGGTCCAAACAGGGAAGCTTCCTTGGTCAGTAGTGTGGACATGTGTCTTGAGTCATGTGTCCCCAGGTCACATCCAGCTCTGGCCCCAAGAACCTAGGATGACTGAGTAAGCAGAGAGGAGTCTACAGGGTTGTGAAGTTCATAATTCCTAACACAGGGTGTGCGTTCCTGCGGTGGCCAAGCAGAATGAGGAGAGGACGAGATTGCACAGGTCGTGGCCATGCTAGAGAGTTTTGACTTAAGTCTTGCTGGGATATAATGTGATAACATGCCTTCTCTGAGTCTCAATATACTCAACATACTGGACAATAAACTTTGTCAGAAATGCAATAGAGCAATAAACATGATGTTAGATTAAAAAAAACCTACCAAGCTGAGGGGTCCACACCATCCACAACAGTACAGAACATCAGAGGGTTCTTGCCAAAGCATAAAGTGAAAACAGAAAAGAAACGCCATGTGCTCAGAGGAGTGACGTGTCCAGCCACGCCCTCGCCTCCTCTCCTTCCTACCTTTCACAGTCCACCTCTAAGCTTTCACCCCAGCTTACTCCTGTGGATTCCAAATGTGGATCCCAGAATCAAGAAAACCTCCTAGGTTCTGTAAACGAGAATGATTCACATCACCAGTGTTTACTTGTGCCCTCACCAGGCACAACTCTGGGGCTGTGAGGTCCTGGGGCACAAGGCACACCTTGTCCTGCCTGCCTGTCTGTAGGGCCACGGGGAGTGTTACTTGAGCCCAATGGATGGTAAAGCCAGGCTTGCCAGGAGCGAGGAATATTCCCAGAAAAGAGGGGAGAAGGGAGGCTTTAGAGCACTGGGGACAATGGCCCAGAGGGGGCCCAGTGTCACTCTAGGCTGACCAGGACTGAGCCAGGTCGTGCTCAGGGATCCCAAGGGGCCGGCAAACAGCTCAGCAGGGCCACAGCAGGTGCTTCCTTCAGAACAAATGTGTGGGGAGGGGACCAGGAAAGAGGGTGCCTGTCAATGAGACAAGAATAGCACTGGGTGGTCACAGGAGCATGGAAAACCCAAACAACAGCGAAAACAAGACCAAGACAAAGAAACAACAAGATAGCAGGAAACCGAAAGGAAGAGAGCAAAAACGGCTGAAATCCCACTCAGGGTGACTTGTCCATGGCTCTTCTGGCAAACTCAAAGAAGGGAGAAAGGAGACAGTAACCCAAGGGGTTCTCTGAAATCTCCTCCTCTTCCAGAACACCTAATAATTGTTCCATCCCCTAATTAAAGAAACGCCCATAAAATTAGAAACCCAGACTCTGCTGGGCGTGACACATTCTCATGAGCACGTCCGCACTTCTCTTTCAAATGTGTACTTTCGCTTCTCACTAAGTTTCTTGCCCTTCCTATCATTCTGACTCATTCCTGAGTTCTTTCTCAAGACAGTGTCAAGAGCCTGGACATCAGCTGGGGGCTGGGGTCTCACAAGCATCTGGAGAACCTTCTGAGTCCTCTGGCAACATCAAGGGAAGAAAGAGAAGACTCCTCCGTGGAGCCCGTCCCCGCACACTTCCCGCCCTGGGACACGGCACGGCTGCTTTGCACCAAGCCTCACCCTTGGCACTCAAGTCGGCTGTGTTCCCTATGATCCATCTATCCACTGTCTCCAGGACAAGCACTGTCCCATTCACAGAAGTCAGCACATAGTAATGCTGGATAAGTGAATGAATTAGTGAATGAGTGAACAAGTGAATGTGTGCACAGCTCATTTGTTTAATTGGAGTCCCGAGATTGGAAGTGAATGAATGGAAAAAAAATCAGTCACCAGACCACAGGTCCAAGTCATGAGATGTAGCAGCTGGGTGACCTTGGATGTAGCGCATCACTTCTCTGAGCCTCACCTTCCTTAACTGAAATGAAATCAGGGAACTTGCCCTGCCACCCTGCAGGGATATGGGAGCATCAAGGGCTGGGTAGGCACCCAGTCAATGTAAAGCTCACAAGCTGTTGCCACCCTTCATCACAATCCCAGGACATGAAGCAGATCCTGTACATCCTGGACCCTCCAGCTGAAAGCTCTTCGGGTTCCTGGGCGGGGCCAGCCCCCAGGCTCCGCAGTGGCATGCCCAGACAGTTCCAGAAGGCAGGACCAAAGCAAAGAGCCGGGATCCGAGTGGGATCCTGACCTGGGATACACACATTCCTCAGCATGCTTCCCTGCTTTTCCATTCTTTATAAATCAGAAAATTAATTACCAGAAAAAGGACCTTCTGCACCAGAAACTCAAATGAGTTTAATGTATAATTTATATATGAAAATGTAGATGTCAATGTGTGACAAATCTCTGTACAAATATTTTTGCAGTTAAAATTTTAGGCATCTGTCTCCCTCCCAGAAGAGTCATCATGCGGGCAACGCGAGTCCCCAGGGCTCAGGCCGGGTGGGGCTGGCAAGGTGGCTTGTCATTCCACCAGTTAGTGATGCAGCTGCCAGCGCAGCCCAGTCCGGAAGGCCCCAGCCTTGGCACCCGCCACCTGCAGCCAAGTCACAGCTCTGACCCAACCTCCCCGGCAGGGTCCTGCTGTGTCTTTAACACCATGTGCCAGCTCTGTGCTGGGCCCAGGGGAGGAAGACAGAGTGGAGTAAGGCCTCACACGCCAGTGCCTCTGAGCCCATTGGAGAGCAGGCAAGCAGACGAGGAATGACAATGACAGGGTGGCAAGTGCCAGGGTAAGAGTGGGTCCTACATGCCAGGCAGCCACAGAGGAGCAAGTACTGCCCTATGCAAGAGCATTCATGAACATTCCGGGGCAGGGGGCCAGTCCTGATGGAGTCTGTCAGGTGGATGAAGGCAGGACATTCCCAACAGTAAGAGCCACTCACGTGAAGACCAGAGACAAGAGCAAGCATGTCCAGATGGTGCGAGCATGGCCTGTGGTACCTGGTGGGGAATGGCCAGCAGTGAGTCTGGCATGGAGAAGAGCCAGATCACCAAGGGAGCTGTGCGCTCAGCCCTGAAACAGGACTTTGTCCTGGATTGAAAACTTCAAAAGGCGAAGCCTTGCAAACTGTAAAGTGCAGGCAGCATCCACAGAAACTACCATCCCCAGCAGGATTGAGTCCTGTGCCAAGCCAAGCCTCAGCGGCCTGCCAGTTTCTGGCCCAGGGGTCCCAAACGACTTCCTTCACCCCCAGGTGTACCAGTCCATAAGACTGACTGGCACAAGACTTTGCATACAAAACACCTGAAATGTAGGCTAGGCCCTTGCTTCTCATCTGCAGTTGCCACGACCATTTGGAGATGATCATTCTCTGTGTGGGATGTTCCCTGATGCCCTCTCTCCGGATGCCCAGTGGGACTCCAGGGACAACCCACAGCATCCTCCTGCCGGAGGACCTGGAGGGAGAGGCACAGTCCACAGATGGGGCCCTAGCCGAGAACTGGTTTGCCACGTGTGCCAAGGAGAGAGGAACTGCATGTCTATACCACACTCTGGCCCAGAACCAATGGTAAGGGTCAAAAACATGCCCTCGTTCACCCTACCATTGCCAACCACGTCGGAACACAATCTGAAGTCTCAGTGGTGTCTTCCCAGAACTCGGGCCTTCTACAACAAGACAAAGCAAGTCCCAACTCCCCTACCCCAATAAGGGCCCCTGGGCAGCCTCTGCAGCAGCCTCGAAGCCCTAAGTTCCTGGCCAAAAGACAAAAGCACAGGCTCCTGATGCCTACAGGACAAGGGTTTCAAGCCCCCAGGCCTCATTACCCCAGTGCCCATCTTGAAGAAGGGCACAGCCTGGCCCTGCTAATTTTTCTATCTCCTGGGGGACTGGTGGCCCATCCCTCCATGACTCCCAGCCACGTACCTCGCTTGGTCTTCGTAGGCCTGAGACCCTTGTCCTGGGCCAGGGACTCCCAAGTCTCCCACTCCTTCCAGCGCCTCAGCTGTTCCTCCCGCATCTTGTAGAAGAGGATGTGCTTCTGCACATCACTGAGCTCGGCGAGGAGCTCAGGGTCGATGTACATGTCGTGCAGGATCTGCTGCAGCATGATGCCACCTGGGATGCACTCACCAGAAGGGCAGCCGGCCGGGGAAGCAGGGCCAGGCGGAAGGCCCGACGGGCTGCTCTGCACTACAGGCTCCTCAATCCGAGGCCACTCTCGGTGCCCCTTCTCTGCGCAGCAGCGTCAGTTGGCCTCAGCTTGCAGCCAGCGACAAACTCATCTCCTCTACCCAGGACAGCAAAAGAGGCCAGGCAACAGGACCCAAAGGGGCAGCTGGGACTCTGCAAGGGGGAGCACCCACCAGGAGCAATCTAGTCCTTCTGCTGGGTCACCAAGCATGGCATCCCAGCAGAGCCCATGTCTTGGCCTCACCTGGGGTTCCGGGACAATGGGGAGGGCCCAAGCCTCCAGCTCAGCCAGGAAATGCCCAGTCCCAGCCCTGCCTGAGCCGGTAGGTGTCAAGTGATCTGTTAGTGGAAGGTAACAATGACACCAGCTGTATCAATGACACTGCCCCGGCCAGCTGGGAACCGATCTCTCCTCTGCAGATAAGAGGAGGAGAAGGAGGCAGACTTGCCTACTAAATTCCATGTCTTTTCAGCCAATTTCAAACAGAGACCAGAAGAGCCTGCCAGGAGCTGCTGGGCCCTTCAGCCCTCTCAGTCCCTCTCTCTGCAGGTTCCTTCGCTGCCAACTTTCTTCCTTTCCAGAACATTTGGCATTCTGAGGTGATGCGTTTAAAACTCTGCCTTGAGGAAGGAAAGATTTTTCCTCCTATCTGTGTTATAGCCAAGAAAGAAAACAAAATGGAATCAGTAGAGACAACTGGAGGGGATTTTATCATGGAATTCCAGGACAGAAAGGAAGCAGACATCCTTTGCCTTTGGCCTATAATGAGATCCTGCAGCCAAGCGTGCGCTGACAGATAAACTCTCCAGGGGCCAATTTTAATGGTTGTTGTTAATCTTCTTGTTTGTTGCAGATGTCTGGAGTTGACCAAAAAGAAAGAAGATGAAACTGGCTCTCCTCTGTGCCTGATCAGAAGCACACTGGAAGGGCGGCATGTTGACTTCTGCTGGGAGGGAACCCATCCTCTTTGATGTGTGAAGGTGAGTAGAAGCTGCTGTTGCTGAGATCTTTAGGGTGAAAGCTCACCCTAAATATGTGCTCAGAGCTAATCACAGTTGCCCTTTTATTGGGACAAGGATATTGAAACTCAGAGAAAGTAAGTAGCTTGCCTGTGACTTCCTAATGGTCAAGTCACCGTATTGGGACTCCCCTATTTTGAAATTTGACATCCACCAGCAGCTATGAATCTGTTGATGGTTTGAAAACATAACCCAACCAGGGGAAAACAAACGAACCAACAGGATTTGACACTGTGGCTTGGTTGGATTGGTGACCTTCCTGTCCCCTTCCTTACCCATGAGGGTGGAAGGTGGATCAGGTACCCAGGAGTGATAGAAGGGGGGTGGAGAGTTGGCACTCTTCCCCCTCTGCCTTAACACAACAGGAAGATGGACTAAGCAGGTTCAGATGAGCTGTAAGCCCACAGGGTCAAAGCTCCTGCTCAGCTGGGCAATGTCCAGGTCACAGGAGTAGAGTCAGGCGCCCCACCCCTCCCCAACCAGGTCCAGCTGGCAGGTCCCAGTGTGACCCAGACTTTCCTAGAGCCGCCACAGGACTTGCCTGTCCCCTGCAGAGCTGTGGTCCTGGACTCATCCGCCCTCCTCTCCCACCTCAGGGCTTGCACTGACTCCCCCAACCGGGAGTCCTGGCTCCCTTCAGTTTCTGAGACCGAGGGTCTTCCCCAGCCTCCGCCCAGCTATTATCTTTCTCGCTCTCGCCGTGGCTGGTGGGGGACCCCCAAGTCCAGAGAGGACACAAGGGGAGGAAGGCACCCAGGGTCTGGGCTCCTGCGGGCAGCTTCTTTCTGTCTTTCCCGGGCTGCAAGATGCCTACGACCACAAGAGGGCACGGGGCAGGGACAACGCTGTAGGGAGCAGCAGGAATGGGCCGGCTGGAGGCGGGCAAGAATGGTGATAGTGCCACCCTGGAGGAGGGTGAGGCGGCCAAACTAGAATGACCCCAGCTAGCGCCCATTTTGTGCAACAGAGGGGACCTCGCTGGGGGTGGGGTGATTCCTGGCACTCCCAGGTCAGTGGGGCAGGAGGCCAAGAGACACCGAATCGCGGAGACGTGAGCGTGACCCAGCCGCGGATGGCAGCCCGGGAGCGGGCGCGGTGCGGTTTCTGGAAAGACCAGCTTCGGCGCCCGCGCGTCTGTCAATTCTCCTGGGCGGGGGCGGCGCTCGGCCCGGCCTGGGGCGCCCCCTGGCGGCCGCACGGGGAGGCACTCGGCTTCGCAACCCGAGTGTGTGGGGCCTGGGTGCGGGAGGGCCCCGGAGGATCCCAGGAGCAGGGGTCGCGCCGAAGAGCAAGAGTCCGCGGCTGGAAACCAGGCAGGGGAGCCACGGAGTAGTCACACAGGTTTTCTGCCGGCTTTCAACTGGTCTTATTTTGCTTTCATTTTTCATCAACCCATGTGGCGTGTTTAATGTTGCACGCGAAGGCAGTTTCTTCCGGGCCCTGGAGGCCCACGCACGCAACAATGTTGTGCAAGTGACTGGAAACCACCTGAGTGTCCCTCTGTGGGGGTGGGTTGCCCAGCATGGAGCTCTGCTCCTGTCACAATGAAGTCGACTGTCTGTTTTGGCGAGGGAAGTGACCACCGTTGAGAAAATGAAAAGACGCCATGCAGAATACTGTGCACAGGGTAATTTTTAAAATTCTGTATATCTGATTGCTTTTGTGGAGACAAAGGGAAGAATATGGAAGATCACACTCCTAATTGTTTAGCATTGCTTCTTAGCTCCTTCTTGGAATGGGGAGAAAGATGACAGTTTAGACAATTCTGTGTTGTTTTATACAATGAGTAGGATATACTTACATAATTCATATGACTGAACTATAATGCATTTCAAAGGCTTTCAAATGTGCTATAAAAGAATGGACTTCTGGAGGCTCAGCATCTATGGAGCAGGGACCCACCCCAGAGAGGGACCTGCAGGCAAACCAGACCTGCCTATACCAGGAAGGCTAGGAAGTGGCAATGGAGAAACCATCCATGTCCCCTGGGGTTCCTGAGCTGGAAGCGGGCTTTGAGGCATCTCTTGGAAGCAGCTCTGGCACTAGTGTGGAGAGGGCACTGGTGTGGAGAGGGCAGGAGGCAGGGAGAACAGCCAGTGGACTCTGGCCAAAGTCCAGGAGAAGGTGATAGGAACTGAGTCAGCCTTGCCAGTGGGAGCCAAGGAGGGCAGAAATGGGGGTCCCAGAGAGTCATATCAGGCACTCTGCTTCTCCATAAAATCCTTTCAAATCTGAAGTCCATATGACCAATGATGGCCAGACAGCCCCATCATCTCAGCACAGCTGAGCCTGGCACAGCCACACATAAGGATCGGTGATAGCAGGTGAGAGTCTGGAGTAGTGTCTGCCTTGTCTCCACTGAAAAATTATGGGTGTCAAAATCAACAGCATCTCCTATATGAGTGCAACAATTACTTAGAAAATGCCATGTGAAAAAAAGAAAAGATCCTTTAATTTGGAATGAATTTAACAGTGTGGGGACCTGTAATGAACAAAAGTAAAAATCTTCACTGAGAGCATACCTAGAATTTAATTAAGTTTAATAGAATTAAGTTCATATAGGAACACACCACACTGACACTCAGAAAGACCCCGTATTGTCAGATGTGCCATTAATCTGTGTATTAGCCAGTCTCCAATATGGTTCCAATGATGCTCTCCTCCTGGAACTCACACCCTTGCATAGTCACTCTCACATGTATTAGGGTTGGGCTGAGTGACCAGTCGAATATGCCAGAAGTGACATGTTCTAACAGATAGATTACTGGTTGCACACTCTGTCTGATAACTGACTCTGGGGGAAATTATATTGTGAGAGCCAGGTGGAGAACTGAAGCCTCCCACCAACAGTCATGGAGTGAGGTTGGAAGGGATCCTCCAGCCCTGGCCAGCAGTTTCACTGTAGCCTCGTGAGAGACCCACAGCCACAGTCACCCAGCTAAGCTGCTCCTGGATTCCTGAACCTCAGAAGGGTATGAGATATATATGTGCTGCTTTAAGGTGTTAAACTTGGGGATAATGTATTATGCAGCAAAATGTAACTCAATATGTATTATGAGTAATACATAATACTCAAAATGTAACTCAGTATTATGCAGCAAAATGTAACTCAAGTTAATGTATACATTGAATATCATTTCGAGCCAACACTGAAAGGAAATTGGGAAGTAGAGACTTGATAAAATGATTCCCAAGTTAACCAAAAGAATGAACAGATAAGAAGCAGCCTTGAAAATACTGAGGAATAGTGAACTCTATATTGTGCCACTCTTCAAATTTATAAAATTAAACATTTTAGTTCTGATACAAGAATAGGTAGGTTGAACCAAAAAAGAGCTCTACTAAATCATTATTATATGATCAAAATGGCAGCTCAAAGTAGTGCAAAGAGGGTGAAAGCTCAGTCCCAATGAAGCTGGGACAATTTGCTAGATCCTCACCCGTGATCCTGCCAGCACACCCTTCAGTAGTCATGTCCTCTGGGGGTTCTGTGCATACATAAGAATAATTACTGCAACATCCATCATAACACTGAAAATTTCAGAGTAAGTGATGTGTTCAATAAAAGGGGTTTAGAGTATAAACGAGAGCACATCCGTAGGATAAAATGTAATACAGCCACTGAAATTGATGTTGAGAAATGTATTGGCCTAGATGGTGCTAGTGACGTGTTCGTTGGTAAGAGGGAAGACAGGTTTAAAATATTATGTGTAGCAATGTCCCAGTTTTACATATCTGCATCAGGAAAAAGAATCGTTCCACCCCCACTGCTTTCTAAGGAGAGAAAATAAGTTCTATTAAAAGGTGGAGCTCCAGATCTGGGCAGGATCCTTGCTAGGTTTGGAGATGAAGCTGTGGGGGGTGAGCTCAGTTCCTCCACATAACACAGGCCAGGAAATTGGGGTTTCTGAGCTGCAGAGACAACAGGGGAAGAAGAGGGGGAAGTGGCCATACAACCCAAGGTTGTGGCCCACCTTGCCCCAAATCTCATCAAAACTCGTGCTGTGAGAATTTTTTATTACTTTTAAAAATGAATTTAAACTTTATTTTTTTTTTAACGAATTTTCTCTAACTCTGCCAGAATAGAGGCAGGGCTCAACAGAGGTCCCTCAAGGACACAGGAGTTGGGGACACATGGGCTGCCAGGAGCAGGAGTCCCCAGACGCTGGCAAAAATCATGGGGAGGGCTTGGGATTTTCCTCACCATGGGATCAGTGGCATGTGTCTCTAAAAACAAGCACACCCACGCTGACATTGTAAACAACTGTACACACACACCCATTCATGATTACAACAGCAGAGCCCAGGCTTGCAGCCAACCGGACCTGTGTCACCCAACTTGCCAGCCCAGAGACTTCCCAGGTCCTCCCTCCCATGACTCCCTTTCCTCCTCTGTGGATAACCACTGGGGGTAATCAGCAGGGTGCGCCACAGGGCTTTGGTTCACATTAGACAGACAAGGTATGCATGAGCCAGCCAGGCGCACAGCAGATGACAGTGTGAGTTCTGCTTCTTAATCTGGGGCCTGGTTCCTCACTAACTTAGTAGTAATACTGGCTGAGGGAGTGGGCTGTGGTGGCTGATTCTGTCTGACTAGTGAGCATCTCCAAACTCCAGGTTTAAAAGAAAAATTCTTGGCTAGGCGTGGTGGCTCACGCCTGTAATCCCAGCACTTCGGGAGGCCCAGGCGGGCGGGAGGTCAGGAGTTCATGACCAGCCTGGCCAACATAGTGAAACTCCATCTCTACTAAAAATACAAAAATGAGCTGGATGTGGTGGCGTACACCTGTAGTCCCAGCTACTCGGGAGGCTGAGGCAGGAGAATCACTTGCACCCAAGATCGGGCCACTGCACTCCAGCCTGGGGGACAGAGTGATAATCTGTCTCAAAAAATAGAGAAAAGAAAAAGTCTTGAGTGCTGGACAGGCCTGTGACTCAGGTCTCAGAACGATAAACAAGAGAGAAATACACTGGGTTTCTATGATAGTCGCTAACTCGGGGCTGCTGGCAGTCATGCTTCCCCGCAGGGGAGAGGTCTGCGTGCCCTAAGAGAGAGCTGCCGGCATGCAGAGAGCAGAGATGCTGACGATGGGGAGGAAGCACACTGGCAGTGGTAAGGCTCCTTCCAGCAGCCGCAGCCCTGGTTCCTCTCAGTATGTGACCCTCACACATCCTTCCCATCTATGAGAGCCTGTAAACTGCTTTTGCTTAACCTTGTTTTAGGTAAGGTTTTAAACAATTGCCACCAGTGTGTCCTAACCACCCCAGTGGCTTGAGTGTTTTTCCACTTCTCTTGCCTAGGATGCTGCGGAGATGGACAGGACCGGAGACTAAGGAGGTGAGAATCCTGGGCCACACCATCACTGAAGGCCCTTCCTGAGGTCTGCTTCCCACATGAAGTCCTCCCAGGGCCCCGAATCCAGCCATCCACCTCCTTGTTGGACATAGGCTCCATTAGAGAGATGTGGGGCTCCAGGCCCCCTTGCTCCGCGCCTCCCTGTGAGAAGCTGCTGACAGTGAGGGAAAGGTCAGTGAGTCCTGCTAATTAGAAAACATTTTGCCCCATCCAATTTCCCCTGACACAAGGTCACTCAGCGCTAGAACAATTAAGTCTCAGCCCAGGACTGACTCTTTTTTAACTCAAAGGGCAGGAGGAAACTCCAGGACCCCAGATGGCAAAGTGGCTCACGCTGTGGACAGCCTCCCACAAGGCCCTCTGGGGTCTCCTGGTACCCACTAAAGACCACACAGCCTGCCAGCTCTGCCTGCTGCCTCACTCACTGCAGACGAGTCCATCCACACCACAGGCCCTGCCCACTGGGCTTGAGACCATTCGGACCCAGAGCAAGGAGAAGCAGGGTCCTTGCCCTGCAAGTGGCTGATAACTTGAGTGAGCCAGTCTCCCCCAGGCCAGGGGAGTCCTGTGCCCCCAATCTCTGTTCCCTCCCCAGGGGAACAACCAGGACCGAATTGTAAACCTTTCCTCATTCAGTTCTTAGAACAGTATTGTGAAGAAGGTAATTTCATTATCTCAAGTTCATATTTGAGGCAAGTGAGGCACAAGTTCACATAGCTGCTAATGATGGATCCAGGACTTAAACCCAGGTCTCATGGAACCCTGAGTAGCCCCTGCCCTCCTACCCCCATCCCTCCTCCCCTCCCCACACCCTTGGCTCTTGTTTTCAGCTGGATAGTCCTTCTAGGGTCACACTGCTACAGACCCAAGAGCTACTGCTCAGCCTACCCCTCCCTAGTGACCAAATGTGGAGGGCACTGAAGGAATTCATGTGCCATCTGTCCCTTAATCTGAACATAGAGTACAGGCATCTCTGGCCCTGTGGAGCCTACATCCCCGCCCAGTGTGACAAGGAGCCCACCATCTCCAGGCCGTCCTGTGGAGCAGAAAGAAGGTTGAGCAGAGGCTGTGAACCAGGCAAATCCACCCACCACAGACTGGGCCCTAAGTTCCCTATAAAGGGAGATTTAGAAAGCCAGGAAATCCAGTGCCAAGGTTCACTTCCCTAAACCATGGGACCTGGGGCACAGACCACTGCCGTCTTCCAATATCTGTACTCTCTTCTTTCTCCTACACACACAGCTAGACCTTTGTGTCATTTCAGGTGGCTTGTGAGTTCTGGCCAGCAGAATGTGAGCACAAGCAGGGTACTCCCATCCTCCCTCCCTGATCCTCACCTCTTCCCCAACCACCAGCTGACTAGAGATGCCTGCAACAGCTACAGGAGGCTGGACCCACAACAGGAAAGGAGCCTGGGTTCATGAAAGACTGTGTGGAGCAGAGAATTCCCCACCCTAGTTCCCAGCAACTACCGGAGACTGTGGCATGAGCAAAAAAATTAACATTTTTCTTTTTCTTTTTTCTTTTTTTTTTTTTTTTTGAGATGGAGTCTCACTCTGTCACCCAGGCTGGAGCGCAGTGGTGCGATCTCGGCTCACTGCAAGCTCCACCTCCTGGGTTCAAGAAATTCTCCTGCCTCAACCTCCAGAGTAGCTGGGACTACAGGCTCCTGCCACTAACCCCGGCTAATTTTTTGTATTTCTAGTAGAGACGGGGTTTCACTGTGTTAGCCAGGCTGGTCTTGATCTCCTGACCTCATAATCCGCCCACCTTGGCCTCCCAAAGTGTTGGGATTACAGGCGTGAGCCACCGCGCCCAGCTAAATAAACATTTTTCAAAGCCTCCCAAGTGTAGGTGATGTTTGTTCTAGTGGTTAGTCTATTCTGGCTCCATCCTTCTGTAACCACCCAAGGGCTAGTTAAAACAGTTTGTTGGGCCCCATCCCAGTTTCTGGTCCCATAGGCCTGAAGGAAGGGGCATACAATTTGCATTTTTATTTATTTATTTATTGAGACGGTGTTTTGCTCTTGTTGCCTAGGCTGGAGTATTACACTCCAGGCGCAATCTCGGCTCACTGCAACCTCTGCCTCCCGGGTTCAAGTGATTCTCCTGCTTCAGTCTCCCGAGTAGCTGGGATTACAGGTGCCCACCACCATGCCCGGGTAATTTTTTGTATTTTTAGTAAAGACAGGGTTTCACTACGTTGGCCAGGCTGGTCTCAAACTCCTGACCTCAGGTGTCCCACCCACCTTGGCTGCCCAAACTACTGGGATTACAGGCGCGAGCTACCACACTTGGCCTGAATTTGCATTTTTAACAAGTGCTGGGGGTAATGCTGCAGCTGCTGCTGGTCTGGGGTGATGCTGTGGCTGCTGGCCTTGTGAACCACTGCCCAAGCGCGTAGCTGCAGTGTGGGAGTTACTATCCCATTTTGCTGAGGAAATGGTACCCAGTTCCTGGCCGTCATGGGCACTGTGCTGCCTTCCTGCTGTGCCTCGTCTGTGCCTGCCCACATCGTTGCTCACTGATCATGGCCTGCGAGTTAGTGTCGTCAGAGGGAGGGAGAAGAGTTCCTAGAGTGGAAACCCTGGGCTGTAAGCCTGGCTCTGCCACCTCCCAGCTGTCTGGCAGCAGGCAGGTTCCTTAGTCTGAGTCTGTTTCCTCTCATATAAAAGGGGAAAAGGGTGTTCGTTTGCTCCCCACCCCCATCAGCCTGGCAGCTTTGTGCCCACAGTAGATTTTCTATGAGGACCTCTCACTGATGCACTTCAGTGGCAGAGACTTGGGACTAAAGGAGGACTTCTGGCCCCAGATGCCCCAGTGCCAGCCTCACCCCTGAGGGCCACAGTGAACACCCACATGTCTCACCGCCTCCAAGGCAACTGACACCTCTCCTGGTACAGGCTTGCAGGGGGGAACGGGGAATTGTACAGGGAAAATAAAACTCAAGACTGCAATCACAAATTTTAAATGCACACCTTTTCCAGTTATGAGAATTGTGTTGCAAAGAGGAAGGAGTGGAGAGTTTACCAGCCAGGGGATAGAGGACCCCAACACCCCAGTTTCTTAGAACATTCATTGCAGGTTCTCTTTTCATACTACCAAAGTCCTCCCACCCCATCCCCCACCAACCACATCTTCCAGGAATCACTGAGATTCACAGAGAAGGGAAGTAAACACAAGAACACAGTTATGTTGAAAAGATACTTGAATGCACATGTTGCAAACAAGGCGAGTCCCAGGAATCATCCTGAAGAAAAAGACAGAATGACACTGAAATCCATCATGATGGTTATCCCAGGGAGTAAAGCCTTAAAGATCTCCTTGTCAGATGAGACTTTTAGAATAGACCTGACATTCTGTTGACTTAGAAGAGCTGATGTCATCCTCAGAGCCCAGGTGATACATACATTCCCCGATTTGGCCACAGGGTGGATGGCAGTACTCAGCTGAGATGGGAATAGGCAGCAGAGCAGTTTTGGGTGTGCGTGGAATTAGGTGTTGGAGAAAAAGAAGCAAAGTTCAGCAGTTTTGGATGCAGCCACCGAGGTGTCTGCAGGAGTGGATGGAGAGGCAGAGCTAACAAGCACTTGAGGACACTCAGGCTCTCTGGGTAGCAGACATGGCCTGAGTGATCCATTTACTACTGAAAGGACAGCGAGTGCCCTGGGCTGCCTCCCAGAGTGGCTGGTCCTTACCTAGGGCACCTGGCGGATGCTCTAACCCCTCAGGATTCACTTTTCACCATGAGATATTGACTCCATTAAATTTCTGCCTGCATCCTATTTTAAAAATGGCTCTGCTGGATGGACAAGTGTTGGAAAGAAATTTGGAGAAAGAAACAGAGATTCTGGTTGTCTTCAGTGGAAAACTATGCATTGGGGCTGGGCATGGTGGCTGATGCCTGTAATCCCAACACTTTGGGAGGCCGAGGCAGGTGGATCACGAGGTCAGGAGTACGAGACAAACCTAGCCAACACAGTGAAAACCTGTATCTACTAAAAATACAAAAATTAGCCAGGCGTGGTGGCACGTGCCTGTAATCCCAGCTACTTGGGAGGCTGAGTCAGGAGAATCACTTGAACCCGGGAGGCAGAGGTTGTAGTGAGCCAAGATTGCACCACTGCACTGCAGCCTGGGTGACAAGAGGGAAACTCTGTCTCAAAAAAAAAAAAAGAAAAAAGAAAACTATGCATTGCTTAGGGCGCATCCTTCCAGTTATCTGATTCTAGACTTTCATTGCCTTTGAGTTATTTTTACAACTAAGTTGTAGAGTTAATGCAAAATAATTCTTGTCTATGGATGTGCATATAATATATATGAATGAGGTTCAATTGACCTTTCTCCTCCACAAAAAAAAAACCCAGCCAGTTTCAACATTCCTTTACTCCATATAGATTTATGGTTCATTGTGATTTCTCTTTTGAACTGGCTGTTAATCTTAGCAGCACTCTCAATTTCTGAGTTAAATAAAAGATTTGGCATATGTACATGTAATATTTATGAGTCATGCCTTTTTTAAAAAAATTATCTTTAACAGAAGGCACAGGAAGGACCACTACCTCTCAGAGATGGAAAGGCTTGCCATGATCCACGCAGCACAAAGCCCACCCCCAGCCATATCATCCCAGACAGGAAGGGTGTAGCCTGGGCTTGCATACCTCCAAGGACAGGGTGCTCAGTCCCTCCTAGAGGCCACCTCACGTCTTCCCATATTGGATCACAGCTCTGACTTTAAAAGACAGAACAAGTACAAATCTAAAACTAGAAGAAAACACTATGGTCCTTCCTGCTGACAGCTGAGTACTTGGGCCTAAATCAGCATCTATACACGTGGCCTGCAACCCTGGGTTCCGTGCAAAGGCAGTGTGACTGAAATGGCTGCAGGGGGAGCGAGAAGAGAGGACAACACAGGCTCGTAACACTTCCACTGCCTCAGAACAAAACCCTGGATTTCCTGACCTTCCAGCAGTCCCTGTGTATTTTCAAATACCAGGTTTTTCTCAGGGCACCAGGGCAAGCCAAGCAAGGCCCACACATGCTAGTCTCACACATGTCCCCCAGCACCACCCCCAGGTTCCCAGCCTTGCCGAGCTATCCTCACAAAGATGGACACCCTCCCTCATAGGAGGTGCGGAGGAGCACCCAGTCCCACTCTGAGGCCTCAGGTAAGTCCCAGCACATCCCAGGGCCTCTGTTCTCTTTATGAGTGGGACCAGATAGGGTCCACCAACCGTCCAAACATGATGTCCTGCTGTCTTCAGAGCGCATTATCGCCAGCGCGGATGTTCACAATAATGCCCTTTCTCCCCATGGACCATCCCTCCTGGGCCCCAGGCCTCTGTGACCTACTTGCCCCTTGGCTGGTGATGGCCACTCTGCTGCTTCTGGGGGCTCCCAGGCAACTTCGGTTGTGTTGGTTTCTGGTAGGATCTGCGCTCCAGGCAAGAAGCAACCCCCTCCCTTGTCTCCCCACCTCTATGGCACAGAAAGCGAACAGACCTTGAACTCTAAATGCCTGCTGAGGCTTGCCGCAGACCTCGAAGCCTTGTTCCTAAAGGGACAGGGAAGTGGACCATTTCATTTCAGCATGGTTCAGTCTAAGCTGTCTGACATGCGACCCAGGCAGCTTTTTCGTAGGGACTGGCAGCCACAGATAAAATCTCCCAATCATTAAAATTATGTTAGCAATAATTCAGGGGATGCATACTAAATAATGTGGATCTTTGTTAGATGCTTTACCCATCTCAACTCATTTAATCCTTGAAACAACCTCACAGGGTAGGAGGTTTTGCCACCCTACACCCACACACACCAGCAATGGTCAGGCAGCAACAGGCACACCCCAGCCCTGAGCGCCTACTCATTAAAACGCAATCCCACCTCCCAGGAGAACGCCTCTAAAAACATGGTTTTTTTCTTATACACCATAAGAAGTAATTCCAATAACAGAACACTGTACTTTTTTTTTCTAAGTCCTTGTAAGTGCAAAACCCTGCAAACAACTATAATGCCCATCCACAGAAGCGCGATGGCAATAGTTGGCAGCATCCCCAGCCTTCGTCCCCCTCCTGGAGGATGCTGCATTTCACAGCCACATGGTTTCAGTGGGATGATGAAGCATGAGGAAGCGGGGGTCCCTTCCCTTGCTGGCTTCACCACCACACCACCCCCATCAGGGGGAGGCTCGGGGTTTTCTGTGGTAGACTCCTTCCCTCCACCATAGATGAAGGGGATGCTGTGGAAGGCAGAGCAGACAGAAAAGGAAACAAGATCCTGCTGACGTCACTGAGCCACTTGGATCAACCCAACCCTGAAACTCACCCCACCTTTGGACTTTCCAGTTTCGGGAGCCAAAAACTCCCCTCATTGTTTAGGCCAGTTTGAATTGGGTTTTCTATTACCTGCGACTGTAAATGGACTCCTCTGGTACAAAGGCAAGGCCCATCTGCTCTTGGCATACTCCTACAACTGATGGCGTGACCATGAAAACGCACTGTGGATCAGTATATTAAGTAACATTTATAAAATACTATGTAAAATGATTCCATGGGTGTGATGACCCGAGTATATGCATGGATATT